AAAAACTAAATGACAAAAGCTCTGCAAACCTGATGCAGTAAGGGCTTTCCCTTGGCATCAACCCCTTGTGACAGGTCATGGATCGACCTTGCAAGCTACAACCTGTCCCCCTGTTGCAGAAGCAGTCATGACAAAGAACCAGGAGTTGGATCTGGATGGCAACCCCGACTTGGCAAACAAAACCCATGGCAAACTGAGAAGGACTACGAACGAAATGACAAAGGATAGTACTGGAAGTACCAGAGATTGCAATCAACCAACCAAACTGGTCCGGCAAATGAATTAGCTTACGAATGCAATACAGCCATGGCACCAACAGGTGCCGGCTGCCCTGACGTCAATCTTGGTCCATATCTGATCCGCCCAGAGGGCGGGCTCGCTTATGGGATGCCAAGAACATTTTCTTGAGCTCCTCGATGCCTCGATTGGTGTCCTGGAGGTGACTTGCAATGGACTTCTCCACCGACTGCTCCACCTCAGTACGGAGGGTTTGGAACTGTTTCTCAACTGCGTCTTGTTTGGTAGCAATGGAGCGCAACTGCTGTGACGTAGCTGTGGTCTGCTTCTGGTGATCTTCAGCGAGCCTTTGCACCGTCTGTTCCAGGTTGGCAATTTTGGCCTCATGATCGACGAATCGAGTCTCCATGGGCCCCTGTGGCTGACGTGACAACGATTGGCCTGCCTGTGCATTGGATCCACCATGGTTGGAGGAATGCCATCTTGCCCACGGATCATTGAGTTGAAGTCCGTCAACAGCTCCCATGGTGGCAGTCAGGGAGGATGCATTGTTCGGCCGCGGACCTGCAACAATTGGTGAGTAGGCGGTGGAATTCTTCGGTGGCACCAAACGGACCAAGACTGGAGATCCATTGAAAGTGAGGATTCCATCCGGGGCCTGAGTCTCAGCTCCTGCCAGCCATGCACGTGGTCCCAGGGCCTTGAATGGCCTCAGCTTCCAGGAATACGACTCCGCCCATTTGACAAGTGCATCATTTGTCACTCCATATGGCAATGCATCCAGCTTATAGACAAAGTTGGAAGAAACCGCTGACGGGACAGGTGCCGTAGGGTTGGCAATCTTCCACGCCTCCTCAAATGCTTCAACTGTGAATCTGAGCCCCAACGTTTTCTTGCCTTTCACCAATCCAAGATGATTGTTGAGTCGAGCTGCAAGGGTGTTTGCATATGCCCAATCTGCCGTCAGCCAAAGGGTACGATAGCCAGTATCAGGTCGGCCTTGTTCATCTTTGGGCGTTGCAAAGAGATGATTGAAGCCGCTACCAGCCAGAACTGCGGATAGGTAACTGGCTTTGATCAGGCAATGAATCTGGACACTGTGAGCTTGGTGTGGCTGCACAGCCTTGTTCTCGGCTCTAAAGCTGCGGCCCCAACAGGAGAGGATGACATCATCTTTCATTTGTGCTCGAGCAACTTGAAAGGTGTTGTGGAGGAGTTCAGACCATGCTTCCGGCTTCCAATCTTCTTTGTACATGGCAAATGCAACCGTTTTGGACGCTTCCATGGCAACTGTCTTGGAGCTCTTGATGATCGTGACCTTTTTGGCGCCAAATTGGACCAAATTGCACGCCAAAATGACTGATCGTCCCTGCGGGTCCTCACATGGGACAGACAAGGAGCACGTGAGCGAAGGGTCCAGTTTGGCTCCAAGTGGTAGTTCACCAAGGATCACCAATGCAAGTTCATCACTGCTCAACCGGCCTGCTGATTGCAGCCACTGCATGGCTTCCTGAGAGGAACAGAGATAGACCCCTGTGGTTCCGGACTTGAAGGTGGCAATCTGTTCACACTCAGTGTTGTCCTCATTGAGAAAGTACCCTGAAGCAATCCGATATTGTGACGGGTCAGGAGGTGCCTGGATTTTTCTCTGCTTGGAGTGCTTAGAGGACTGGTTTGGATGATGATCCTTGGACCCTGGCGGCGGAACTTCAATCTGCCGACTATGACACATCTCAATGATGGCAGTGAGCCTCTTGGGTCCAGCTGGAATGCCAGCAACGGCAGTGAGATCCTTGTGATCAACCTTGGTGTTCAGCAGCTCCATTGTTTTGGACACCCATTGGATTGCAAATCCGCCTTCAAGCAACGTCCCCGCCAACGCATTGGACACCTTGGTTTTGTGTGTATGTTTGAATCCAACTCCAAACAGGTCTTCCGCCGTGATGGTCAACGTGCGAGGAAGGTTCCGATTAAAATGAGGTGCAACCAGCTCACTGATCTTGGTGACATGCTTGAGGACTCGGCCATCAAACACAATGTAGACCGGACCCGAATAGTTGACACCCTGCTGGAAAAGGACGGCCCTAATCTTTGCAATCAACTGACCAATCTGGCATTGCAGTGGCAAGAAAATTGGCCGCGGAAATAGGTCAGGCAATTGGGTATGCTTGGCAGGAATGACACAAAATGGAAAGACCTCCTGTGCCCCCGAGCACTGACCTTGGCGTGATGTAACATCTCGTGGCTGATATGGTGAATGTGCAGTGACCGGACGGGTTTCTGGTTCCAAGTTACCTGCCTCGAGATCTGGCCCCGTTGAGATGGGCCAGGTGGCTGTGCATGAGACTGTTGGATGCTGGCTAACAGGGACAGGATCTTGACGAATGCTTGTTTCAGACGGGGGGACAACCGAACCAAACATGTGGCCAGACCAATCACAACAAATGTGAACAATGCATGGTTCAGACAATGACCGTGTGGCCTCACCAATCGTGTCCAGAAGGGACAATGAGCGATCACCAATGGTGAATTGGACCGTGGATGGGGCCAATGACGGGACGGAGGACATAGCAGAGACATTCTTCAAGGTCCCGAAACTTGCATGCAGGATCAAGGTGGCCTTTCCACAAATGGTGGGAGTTCCAACGCAACGAGATGCAGGGGGCACCTGTGGGCTCAACAGAACAACCATCCAACAATACCCGGAATGCCGAAACTCCAATGGCAAGCCATGAATGATCTGGCGGCAAGGCAACCTTGGTGGATGCTGGGCTGAGGACAATTGTGACTTGTGCGTGTGTCTTCATGAGGGACCACTGACGGCCGATGGATGCAAGTAACTCTCGCATGGATCCCTGCCAAAAGGCTTCAATGTCACTGACCTGCTCTGGCTGACCTGCAATTGTGAGTTGCATGAGATCTTCTTTGGGACACCAATGGAATTGACTTGGCCACGCACGAAAGGCTGGCAGCAAGATCCCAACAGGCTTGGTTAATGTGCCCTGACTCAATGGATGATCAAAGAATGCCACATGTGACTCCCAAACCGCCTCAGCTTGAACTTGGCCAAACTGGTCCCACACTGGTGCACCTGTGGAGCGAACAAGGCTGGCAATGACCGTGTCAGTGTCAGGGTGGGCCAAGAGGGTCAATTGACCACCTAGCATCAGGCATAGCGGCTGTGTATGAGATGGTGCAAGTGACAAAGCAGAACATGTCCCAAGCTGCAGGGTTTCTCTACCTGGCATTGGAGGCTTCTCATGGCCAAGGCTAATGATCTGGCGGTGCCAAATGTTCACAAATTGGTCTCGCTTGATACGAATGTCACTCCAGAGTCCCCGAATTACTGAACCCTGCTGGAACAAGACATGGTCAAAAAATGGTTCCCCTGCTTCAGAATCTGACGTGTCAACATCCGTGGGGGCTGCTGGTGAGTGTTCTTGACCAGTACGGGGACGTTTGAGTGCAGGTTCAATGGCCTGGCCAATCTCAACACAATTCTCATCATTTGAAACCGACGTCCGAGACAGATTGTCAACGGGGCGGACTTGCTGTCAGTGGCAGGGTCGAACAATTGCTTGGTGATCAGTCCTTTGCCAGGATGCCAAACATGGTCTCTTGAGAAAGCTCCTGAATGCAGGTGACTGAGCAATGGCCGGACATCAATGGTTTGGCACTCAAGGTCATCAAACCGACAATCCCGGAAGAGGATACCCTCATCAAAGTTAGTTCGGTGTATGTGATTGGCCTGCATGTGACACTTGTGGAGGATCCCAAACAGAGAATGAAGATCCAATTCCGCGCTATCATTCAAAACCAGGTTCAGGCCATTGACAATAACCAACAAGGCATGCGGGACAGAGATCTGGTTACCAACATGAACCCAGGCTTGCGAGCGATCATTCACGATGAAACAGCGCTTGTAACATACGTGCAACATGCATGCCTCAAATGGATGCCACCATCTTGGTGTTCCCTCCTGCCCCAAACTCAACTCTTCAGGTGACGGGACTTGCACAAAGTGAGCCATGTACCCCTTGGTTCGAAGCACCTGCTCAGAAAGGTCACGCTGAGATGTGTACAAGGCCATGAATGTGTCAACAGTTTCTTTCCCTTGATTACAGCGCATGGCCATCACTTTGCTTGAGTTGAGGTGTTTGGCAAAGCACCGTTTGGGCGGGGGCAAAAATTGCCATTGGCACGCTTTCTGGAGAGCATCTTCTGAAATCCTCAACGTGCGGAGCTGTGCTGGGTCCCACCGAACAATGGCATCAAGGCCAATGGGTGTACACTGAATCTTCTTCCAGGAGACGAAAGGCTTCCGAACAATGGACATGTCATGAAAGCGAACTGCAATTGCAAGCCAACGGAAGCGGTGCACTGCACTCTGGTCAGCTGCATCTACGATCTTTTCCCAGCGAATGATATACCCTGCCATTTTGAGCAGAGCAATTATGATTGGCTTATGAGGATGCTGATTGAATCCATAGACCTGTTTCAGGAATACCATGGCGGGTCTAAAAATCTTGGTCAACTGGGTGGCCACTGCAAAACTCTCACCTTCAAACGCCAGCAGTCCAGGCTGAGCTGCAGCACCTGACCAAGGCTTGCAAGAGGCCGAAATGGAAATAATGTCAACTCCCCATTTTCCAACTGCGGACCACCATCCCGATTGCTCAATGTGGGCTTGGACAATCACTGGCTTTGGAAGCACTGACAAATCATGAGCATGCAATCGGCCTAGGCCATTCACAACTGCAGCGTTATGATTCATAGCAAATGCTACACATGTGGGAAGATCCTGCTCTACAGCAATGGTCTCATGACTAATGGATGAATGTTCCTGCAGAAATGTCCAGGCTGCCGACCAGCCACCAATACCCCCTGCATAGAGCTCAAGCACATGGAATGGCAAGTCCTTGCAGGGACCTTGAGGTGCCACCAGGTTGGGCTGATGGATGAAGCACGACCATCGGTCACATCGGAACATGTCATCTTGATTCGTGGCCAGAAAGTTCCAGCAAATGCCATAAGTGCCCACCTCCGGACATGGATCCTCAGAATGCCACTCAAGCTTCACAGTTCGAGATAGGCAAGTGGCTGCAGGGATCTCCAAAACTTCGGCTCGAAAACGGGCATCCGAATACCCCTCCGGTTGCCATAGCTTCAAACATGGAAAACAACCTCCATCCGAAGTGATCATGCCAGCTAGGTGGACTCTTCCTTCAGCAGATGCCTTCGAAAATGCAAAGTCCTCCAGAATCGAGGATACTATATCCATTGCATGGACCATGGCGTGGCTCACTTCGCTAGCCCACACAGCTACCCAGGGTCCCGCCGCGTGGAGGCTTGAGCCCAGGGCCTATTCAAAAAGACACCTTATAGATAAAGTTTGTAATTTATAAAACATTTCAGAGTCTATAACCTCAGAATATATTTCCATGAGCGCCGAAACCATTGTAGTGGGGGCCAAAACTGCACTGGGCCTCGGTGGAGGTACCGGGCTCCAAGGCTCAGCCCCTGGTCAGGTCAGTCTGGCGCCCGCTGTAGAGATCTCGCCCCACAGAGTGTGGGGAGGTGGAGTGTAGAAGTGTGGACATGGGATCTGCTCCCTCACCTTCATTCTAGTTTCTTGTTCCTAGCAGGTTGCGGCCAGGAGCTCGCCCCGTTCGTAGCGTCCGATTCGTTTTGGGCGAGTGACACTCTCGTATCACATCGGTGGCCAGGCTCCTACGAGTGCGTGCCATGCACCGAAGGCTTGACGTGTCCCGTGAAGTCGACGGTGGCCGCCCGGCCAGACGTCGCGCAACCCGCCGCGCGCGCGACCCGAGCACCGCGCGGCGGTCGTCGATCGGTCACAGCTTGGTGGTACTCCCAAAGCTTGGCCGAGCGGCAGCCAAGCTGTGAAGCTTCTGACCTAAGGCTGACTTGAAAGATGGAGAAAGCGATCTTGGGCAGCAGTACACTCCACAAGTGCAAGAAGGCTATTTCAGCACAGTTGCTGCACCCACAGAGGCGAGAAACTTGACTTTGGGCTGGAGGGGGCAAGGACCTGACCTATCCTTCAAGAAGAAGTGGAAGGTCGAGATGTGTTGGTCACGGTTAGCTGTCAGAAAAGTATGCACGTGATAGGGGGGTTTCTTTCTATGTTGCGCATGTTGTTCTCACCACATGAGGGCGGGGTGAAATGAGGCTTCCTTCCACTTTCTTTCTTGTTGCTTGGCCCGGCACTGTGGCGCCTCTCAGATCTTCCCATAGCGGCCATGGCCGATGGAGAGCCACCTTCACAGACGTCGCCTGATGTAGCCGATGAAACTCGATATGTCTCGTCGAAATCGGCGTGGAATCGCTCGATGCGTCCATCCTCTCTTCCTTTCAAAGCGCAGCGCGAACCACCAACTCAGAGGAAGTTCTGCTTGGCATTTTCGATTTCTGGACACAGTGTTCTGTTGCCTCGCAAAAGTGCGTTTCCTGCGTTTGAACTCCACATTCCCTCCGATGTTTTTTCCAAAGCCACGCAGGGTCCACTGCAAGCACTTCCGCCACGCCATTCGTAACACTCCGGCTGCTTGGGCCAGGTGTACAGATGCACCAGTGTTGTAGCCTGCCCCGGTGGCACTCCCGGCTCCTGCAATGGTGGGCTCGTTGACACACCGTGCGCCACATGCAATGAAGGCGCCCGGAGCCGGACTGGAGCCGAGTGGGCCGAGCTTTGCGGAGCTTTGGGGAGGGGAAGCGTCGCTGAGCAGTCTGCCTTTTGCACTTGTATAGTACCACTTCAAGATTTGATACTGTACACGACTGTGCAGTCAAGCGGAAATTCAAAATCCAACAAGATCTATTTTTTTTCAAGAGGACGTGGGATGTGGCATGGAACCCATGATAACCAAGTTTGAGGGGACGGTGCTTGATACCGCAACGGAGGTCCAGATGTCGCTTGTGTGAGATGTCTCTCTTGGTGCTTCAAACGTGCCCCGCGTTTTGTAGGTCCACACGTCGGAGAGCCGTTTGATGCAAAGCATGTCCGTCATCCCCCAGCATTGCCAAGACTTTCTATTTTTGCCTTAAGTCTAGCATCTACACTAGAACATACAGATTACGTATTTGGCTCAAGAAAACCTCGAAATACTGTCCATCCTTTTACCCGCCGATTTGCCGGGGCGTTACGGGAAGCACCTGCGAAGATTGCGCAGGTTGGCGGCAAATCTCTTGGGCGCCGACCTCGGTGGGGTCAGCGCGGCACGGAGACCCGTCACAGGTCGTTTTCGAGGGTTTCTTGGAGTGCGGAGCGCGGCTGTTCTGAGGTCGTTGCTGTGGTAGCATCCTTGGTGCTGTTGCCACTTCTGTATTACCTTGCCTCTAGCAAACTCACCAGTAAAGCCACGGTGCTGTTTGCCACGACCGCATCCGTTGGCATGATGGTGATGTCGATGCAAAACTTGGGGCTCATTGGCATGATGACGCTCCTTTGGCAATCCCCCACCGGAGGAAAGTGTTTCTCATGTGCTTTTCCAAAACCTCCAGTGGAATGTGCTGGAAAGTGGAGTTTCCAAGGACCGTTGCATGGCCAGAAGACTTGAAGGGCTTCTTCAGTGTGTGTCAGTTTCTCTTGCTTGACATCGACAGTTATGGCTTCAGTTGCCTTGCAGGCAGCAGCTTTTGGGTCATCGTGTTGGGTTCCTCTCAGAAGCCTCTACACTAATTTTACTCCATCCACAGAAATGCTGAGAAGAAGCGTAGTGGCGTAGTCAAAATCACTTGTTGGTGGAGTCGTCAAATCACTTGGTCCCCCACCACGAAAGAGCCTTCAACGACATAGTTTCAATCCATCTGTCTCTAAAACTCAATATATTCATATGATTGTATATATATAATTCTATGCTTTAATATGTGTACATATATATATATATATAATACAGAGATCTCCTCACCCAAACAGACGCAGTCTCCACGAAGAGTCCTGCTTCCTTGCAAGACTTCCATTCTTCTCTGTCAAACATGGTTGGAAGTTTGCACAGACGACTTTCAGAAGAAGTCCATTCCTCATCCGGTGTTCGTGTGTTTCGGGTTTAGGGATTCTTCGACCGTCACGGGTCTCCTCGCCAGAAGCGTGGCCAGGCTCATCCGCGGCCATTCGCTACCTTTTCAGTGCCTAGTCAGTGGACAACCTTTCACCATTTTGAAGGGATTGGGTATTTCGCCACTCAAATCCACAAGTGGAGTTCGTTTGGTTCACCGAACTCTTTTCCGATCGAGACGGTGTCGGGAGCCAGGTGCGCTGATGTTTCCTATTGGTGCGGCTTGGCTTTGGCTGTGCTATGGGATGTCTCGCTTTCTACCAACAGAGCACCGATGGATTCTCCCCAAGACGCAGAGCACTTGCGGGGCATTTCTACAAGTGTCTGGGCGGTGGTTACAGATATTTTGCGTTTTAACCTTTTCCTGTGATGTTTTGTTTTCAGATATGTTCTGACCTTCTAATTGTACCTGGGATGGCTGAACCCACTGAATCTGTTTTCGTGAGTTGAAACCACCAACCAGGTGGGATTCTCCACCATGTCAGCCACAGCGCTTGCCCCGATGATGTGCTACAAACACCCAAATGGTTTGAGAAGCGTCCTGAAGTATCCAGAGATCATTTGTGGATCTGATGAGCATAGCATGATCTTGGCCATTGGTTGGACCTTTCTCATTGTTTTTGTGCTGGGCTTTGTCGCCTTGTGCACATTTGCAGTCACTCAGGACACTTGGCTGCCATCAGTTTGTTTCTTTTTTCACCAGTCAGTCTTCTCGCACTCCCGAAAGTGTCAAGTTTCAAGTAGTTCTGCTTGCCATACTACTACTAGGGGCAAGGACGCTACTAGGGGCTCCTGGCATCGCTACTAG